TTTTTCTTGTTTCCTTATTCCGTGTGCAGTGAGAGTAAATGTCAGTGTGTGTGTGTGTGCGCGCGCAGGTGTGTCTCAGTCATGTGTTTTTGCTCAGAAGGCGGGGTCAGACACACAACATTTGCATTAAGAAATGTCTTTAAGCATTCAGAAGAGTCATGGTGATGCAGGTGGGTGTGTCTGTGGCATGAGTGGGCGTGGTCATCGTTGTGTGGGCGTGGTCATCATCAGATCTGACTGATGTGTGAATATAACGCACTGATGTACAGCAGAAGCACCGACTCTGTCAACAGCAGCAGCTTCATCATGAGCAGCAGGAAGATCAGCAGGAGGTTTTCTCTGGACAGCTCAGGGTGAGAAACACACGCGCACACACACACACACACACACACACACACACACACACACACATGTTAACAGAAGAAAAGGCATCAACATATAAAACAAATATAATCCTACAACATGCAAATCACTGGAATGTAATCAGACCGGTTTATGAGTTATTTTTATGATATATTTGCATATTTTATTGTATAATTCAACTCATCCCGAATATTATATCTAGATCAACTTCAACACATTAAGATGTCGTTATTGTAATTATATTTTCCCTTGAAGATGTTTTGGTGGATTATCAGAGCTTCAGGAACTGAAAGTGTTGAGGCACGTGTGAAACTCAACCTGTCTGTGTTCATTTTTACCGGTGAAGTAGAGTAAAAATGAGCCTCCGGGACACACACACACACACGCACACACACAACTCATAAACTATTAGATATGTCACTATCGGCATTCCCATGACACAGCTTTGGTGATTATGTGTGCTTTCTAAACGTATTGTGTGTGGTGTGTGTGTGTGTGTGTGTTTGTGTTTGTGTTTGTGTGTGTGTGTGTGTGTGTGTGTGTGTGTGTGTGTGTGTGTGTGTGTGTGTGTGTGTGTGTGTGTGTGTGTGTGTGTGTGTGTGTGTGTGTGTGTGTGTGTGTGTGTGTGTGTGTGTGTGTGTGTGTGTGTGTGTGTGTGTGTGTGTGTGTGTTATTCAACCTCCTGTTCAATTTTAATTGTTTTATTTTGTCCCCAATTTCTGTTTAACGGACAGCAGATGTCTCCAGCACATTTCTAATCATTTCTAATTCTCTTCTCCATGATGACAGCACATAATATTAGACTAGATATTCTTCAAGACATTAGTGTTCAGCTTACAGTGACATGTAAAGGCTTCACTAGGGTAATTAGGGTAAAGTTGGGGTAATTAGGCAAGTCATTGTATAACAGTGGTTTGTTCTAGAGACAATCGAACACTAATATTGCTGGAGGGGTGAATAATATTGAGCTTAACATGACTTTAATGAAAAACTGCTGAATGTAGTGTTTGAGTGTGTCAGTGATCAGCAGTGTGTGTGTGTGAGTGTGTGGAGAAGAGCTCTAGAACACAGAACATTCTCAATATGAGTGTATTTCTGAACTGAGTAATCTGCTTCTGGCCTGATATGATCTTTATTCAGAAGTGTTTCCACTATTTGTGTTTCATGTTACACAGATGCATTAGATATGTGAGGCTCAACCGTGTGTGTGTGTGTGTGTGTGTGTGTGTGTGTGTGTGTGTGTGTGTGTGTTCAGGTATCGTCCTCAGACCAGTGGAGTGACAGTGAAGCCCAAGAGCATCACGAGAAGATCTTCAGACAGCAAAACCTTCCAGAGCGTAGCGGAGGCGCAGCTGGAGCTCCTGGAGAGGAACAACTCACAGTAAGCAGACTAATGGACAGTCATGTGACTAAAGTAACTGAACACATGACTCTGTTACTAAATGTTCAAATAGTTGACAGTGACAGAGTTGAAGATAACAGTTGACGATAACAGAGTTGACGATACAGAGTTGACGATAACAGAGTCGATGATAACAGAGTGGACGATACAGAGTTGACGATAACAGAGTTGACGATAAAAAAGTCGACGATAACAGAGTTGACGATAACAGAGTTGACGATAACAGAGTTGACGATAACAGAGTTGACGATAACAGAGTTGACGATAGCAGAGTTGACGATAGCAGAGTTAACAATACAGAGTCGACAATACAGAGTTGACGATAGCAGAGTTGACGATAGCAGAGTTAACAATACAGAGTCGACGATACAGAGTTGACGATAGCAGAGTTAACAATACAGAGTTGACAATACAGAGTTGACGATGACAGAGTTGACGATGACAGAGTTGACGATGACAGAGTTGACAATAACAGAGTTGACGATACAGAGTTGACGATAGCAGAGTTAACAATACAGAGTTGACGATAACAAAGTTGACGATAACAGAGTNTACGGTGACAGAGTTGACGATAACAGAGTTAACGATAACTGAGTTGACAATAACAGAGTTAACGATAACAGAGTTGACGATACAGAGTTGACGATAACAGAGTTAACGATAACTGAGTTGACAATAACAGAGTTAACGATAACAGAGTTGACGATACAGAGTTGACGATAACAGAGTTGAAGATAACAGAGTTGACGAAACACATGTTTTGATAACAGTTGACGGTGACAGAGTTGACGGTAAGAGAGTTGACGGTGATCGAGTTGACGAAAACAGAGTCGACGTTCACAGAGTTGACGATCACAGAGTTGACGTTCACAGAGTTGACGATAGAGTTGACGGTAAGAGAGTTGACGGTAAGAGAGTTGACGGTAACAGAGTTGACAGTAACAGAGTTGACGATAACAGAGTTCTTGGTAACAGAGTTGGTTGTAATTGAGTGTTTGACTGGTTTTACTGGCATGATTGATTATTGATTATTGATCTGTTTTGCAGCAGGTTTTTGAGGATTGAGGAGGAGGGTCTGGATCGCTGTGATGGATCCACTGTTCCTAATGTGAGTCTCTTGTTCATCCCACTCATATGTGAGCTAACACACACACACACACACACACGCATGCACAAGCTGATTTTCCTCTGTTCTGGGATCAGGGCTTTAAGCAGCACAACAGAAGCTTCCACCGGCTGTTCCCAGAGGTGCCGGAGCTGGAGGATCTGGAGCACGGTGAGTGTAGACCTGCGTGTGTGTGTGTCTGTGTGAATGTAGATGTTTGTGTGTGTCTGCAGTGTGTGTGTGCTGACTCTGTCTGCTGTTTCAGTCTTCACCTGCGCACTGCAGAAGGAGCTGATCTACCAGGGGAAGATGTTCGTTTCCCGTCAGCACATCTGCTTTCACTCCAGCGTCCTGCTGAAGGAGACCAAGGTGAGCC